CCGCGGCGAGCCCATGCGCCCTCTGGAGCGGCAGATCTTCCGCGACTACGGGCAGAGCTGGTACCGCTTCCGAAAGGAGCTGGAGGGCAAGTTCCACCCGCTCGACCCTCTGGCGCAGCAGCCACAAGTAAGGAGAGGAGGGCGGTCAGGTAGGGCCGGAGAAGGAGAAATCAGATCGCTGCCAGCATGGCCCGTCCTTCGGACCCAGACGGAGGTCCCGGTTCTTCTTTTTAATGTGGCCAGCGATACGCACGGGCAGTTTTCTCCCCGGGCCAAAGTGAACCTCCGCTCCCTTCGTCTTCGTGTTACCCCTTTCCGCTCCTTCCCGAAAGGGCTTTTCCAACGTTAGGTTTATTCCGTGTGGAGGTTTCGCGGAATCACCTGCCCTGGGTTGAGTAGGAGCCCGAAGTCGCATGCACGCTCCCCTGCGCTGGGGGACTCAAAGTCACCCACTGAACAAAGTCAGAAGATGCAGCCTCCCCCCCTCCCCCCGCTTTACCACTTTTGATACCTTTCTGGGCAGGAAAAGGCTGGGTTTTGTTCTGGTTGCTCCATCTCCTCCTCCTCCTTTTTCATCCACAGAATGCACTTTTGTTTAGGGAGAAGCCTTGATCTCCACCAAAATAGGAATCCAAACATAGACTGGGTTTTCGTGTGCTTTGCTGCACACAGTCATTCAAAAAAGAGCTGCTTCTGGGATATTTGGAAATTTGGATTAGAGGCTGAGTTCATAGAGCTAACCAAATGTTATATCCTTTATGAATTGCTTCCATTTTTATACATGTGCTGCTGTGTCATTATATTCTTGGAATTTTGACCACTGTTTTGCATTTATGTTATAGCCTGAACATAGTTGCCTGGTATGCTCTAGTATGCTCTAATGATCTTGTTTTACAACTGGCACATTGCTTTGCCATAAACATGCACATCAGATGTTAGTAAAACTACATGTCTGCTGCTTTTTGTTTCCTAAATTCCCAGACACTTCCTGGTGATTAATCCCAATGAAATTAGTCGATGGAGACTATTGTTGAACAGTAGGGAATGACTGACTTGTGGTTTCATGACCCCAAAGCACTTTAAATATTTTTTCCATACAATGTGCCATTCTTTGTTGGGTTTTCTTTATACCTTTCATACATAGCTTTTTCAGTGAGGATGGAAAAGAGAATGCATGATCTTTTTTCACTAAAAAAAATATTTAAATAAAGCAGTAAATATGTGTTTTGTTGTATCTATATGTCTTGGTTGTTTTTCAGTGGGGGGGGATTGAGCATGGGAGGGGCTCACCAGTCATATAAAATAGAAGTAAAATCTAACCTGCAGCCAGCTATTTCTTTCGATAATATAGTTCCTTTGCATTCCTGCCACTTGGGGACCATACAAATCCTTGTTTGCAGGAAGCAAATGCATTAATTATTTCAATTATTCATATTTATTCACATAGAAAGCAATTTAAATCATGAAATCAGAAGTCAGCAGTAAATATCCCTTGTCTTTGAAATAATTCCATACTAATATTTCAATTCATTGTATTCTATGATGTAATCAATGGCTGCTTGTAGATTTCAATGATACCTCTTTTGCATCCTAATTCCTTCTTTTCTTGGCTTCCCAGATAACTACAGAAGCCCGTTGCAAACTGATCAGCTGGCTAATCCCAGTGCATAAACATTTTGGCTTTTCTTTCGAATCCTTATGCCTGACAGTAAACACTCTAGACCGTTTTCTCACAACTACCCCAGTGGCTGCTGACTGCTTTCAACTCCTAGGGGTCACCTCACTCTTCATCTCTTGCAAACAGGTACTAGGCTCTAGAGAACCTCTTTTTTTAGTTACCACAATTGGTATTTGCTGCTGGAAAGAAAGAGCACATGAGCAAGACAAACTTTATTTAAGTTGTAATAGGAGAAATGTCTGAAGTATGTGATTGGAAGCTCAAAAATGCTAGTGAAATCTGAATACAATAGATCACTAGATTTTCCTTTGTACATCTAATATTGAAATTCTGTTCACAAAAAGCAATTTTATGTTAGACTATATCATATGTTGTCTCCTCTATTCCCTCTTGAAACATCAGTCACTTTGTTCAGAGTTTCCTAATACATTAAAAACAACAACGACAAAAGTTGTTCTGCTAGCCTCAGCCTACTGTTAAGAGCATAATACCTCCATCATCCTTGTTACAGGATATCATACTTCAGAGGATAGACATACTGGCTTTGGAGTCTACCATGAATTATGAAAGTTCATTACAGAAGTTTCTGTCTTTTCTTTGGCCTTGCAGCCATATGCAGTCCATTCTCCAGAAACCTCTCTGGAAAGTCAGGAGATCTTTTCTGAACAAATAAGATTGAGCATAGAGAGCTTGAAAGAGGGAAATAATCAATTAGATTCTCCCAGAAGACTTTTGAGAGGTCACAGATGGCTAAAGGAATAAAGAAGAGACCAGGAGTTTTCCTACCATGAACATTATTATGATAACATCTTAGCATCCAAACCACCTTGTTTATAATTTCCCAGTCAGATCTCCCTCTCTGTGAAGAAGATGTGTGCTGCAGTTCCAGAAATCAATTCCTTAAAAAAGACCATTACAGCCAAGATTAAGCCATTTAGATCTACATTAATCTGAACAAGTTAATTATGTCTTTTAATTTTTCAGCTAATGAAATTAATTTTAAAAAAGAGTATCTGATGTTAATGACATTAAAAGTGACAAGAAGTCAATAAACTCTCTCTATACTAAGAGCTTTAACATTGGAAATACAACACCCAATACTGCATCGCAACAGTATTGGACGCATTCCTAGATGTTATCTTGTGCCTGAGTTCCTGTGTATTGCTTTCTGTGCTTGTCTGCTTTTCAGGTAGAAGTGCACCCACCAAAGGTGAAACAGCTCCTGGCCCTTTGCTGTGACACTTTCTCTCGCCAGCAGCTCTGCAACCTGGAGTGCATCATTCTCAACAAGCTTCACTTCAATCTCTCAGCTCCTACCATCAGTTTCTTTCTTGAACACTTCACCCATGTGCGGATGGAGGCTTGTGAAGCTGATGCTTGGGAAGCCAACAATGCCAAAGCTCTAGCAAAAGGTGTGGCTGAACTTAGCTTAGCCGACTATGCCTTTAACAAATATATGCCTTCCTTGTTGGCCGTCTGTTGTTTGGGTCTGGCTGATCAGATGTTGCAGCACCAGAAGCCGCTGGACTTGCACTTAAGTGACTATCCAGAGGGAGTTTTGCAAGATTGCCTGGACAAGCTACATTTACTGGTCTCTTTAAATGAGGACTCTTTGCCTTTGGTACTACCTCCTGAGATTTCAGATCAGTGTCTGCACTTAGAAAAATAAGTTAACCAAACAAAAACTATTTAAAATTTGTGACCATGCATTTGGAAGTTTATGTTTTCTGTTTTGTTCCAGTTCCTAAATAGAAGGATCAGTGATAGTTGCAATACCTCTGAAATAACAGTATTCACTTTCTATTTTTACTCACTAATCTCTTTTGACAAGTTTTACACTGTATTTATATTTATTAGTAGAAGCTGTGATGTTGATTTAGAATAAAATCAATTAAAGAACAGCTTCTTTAATATTTTACAGATAATTTCAGATTCTATTTTGCACAATAGACTTATATTGCACTGACATCATTTTAAGTAATACCTTAGAGTTGTAAACAATGTATATTATGCCTGGTACTTTATTTATTGAAATGATAGTTCAGTTTGAAGCCATAGGAAGGAGAACCAAATTGTAAAAAGGTTTATCTAATAAAGCTTCTATTATTAATTGTGATTTGTTATATCGTTTTCTGTTTACTATATATATGGTAAGTCCTCCTTAATCAGTAATGTTTGAAATTGCAGCTTAGGATCCAACTATAACTTATGGAAAGAGAGCCATCTCTTGGAAAGAAAATGCTGTAAAACATCAGAAAGTGTTCTCAAGCAGAGAAATAGCCAATTGAAGAGCATGCTGGCTACTCCCTATTCGCTTATTTTTTATCTCTGATTTTGAGCAAACTGAGATTTCTTCCCCTCCCCCCCCCCATCTTCCTAGAGTTCTCATGAATCAGATAGCAAGTGATTTCTGTGCTTTGGAGAATCACTGCCAAGGGTACCCTAATGTTTTGGGTCCATGGACACATTTGGAATTTTGAGACTATATGATATGCAATCTTACAGAATGACTGCCAGCAGTGGATAGGCTACCTTTTCACAAAGTTCTGCTCTTGATGAGAAAGCAAAGGCTGCTCTTTACTGTGTCCCAACTCACCTCTTGTTTATAGCATGTGAACACATGACCAAGTAAAGCTCTTGGATTGCAGACACTTATTCGTATTTTCTAAGGATACTTATCTGACATTGCAGAGTTCCTTTATGAGTCCCCCTTATTTATGAATTATGAGTTATTTATGAGTCAGGTGGAACTAGGATATTGGCAGGCACCAAAAGAGGCTTCCTCACCTTGTTTGACGCCCAGGGTCATCATGAAAGAGAGAGTGTATTGGGTTTGGTAGGTCTATGATTTCTGCCTATAGTTCAGCCTTATCCAATCTCAATGCCCTCTAGGAGTGTTGGACTAAGGTAAAGTCTCCTTAAGTTGACCGTGACTCCTTAAATTTAATGGACATATAATAGTGAAATGATTTGCCATTGTTTTGAGGGATGTTTTCTCAACTTCCCAGTTTAGCTTACACCCTTAGAATTCCACAAGGGCTTCCTATGCAAGTACTTATCAGGCCTGATCCAACTTAGCATCAGAGCCCAGGCAAGGTCATTCAGTTGCTGCCGACTGCTAGAAAATCCTAGAATTTCCAACCAGTTAACTTTGGGTTAACTGAGTGGAAATTGAAAGAACTGACATGTGACTCATCTAATATATAACCCACACTAAGTTTAGAAATGCTGCTATAGAGCTATGTTCCCAAGCATTCTATGATTTTGTTGTACTAAGATATATGCTTGGGGTTTGGACCTAGCCTCGAGTTGACCAAAATATATAAAAAAGGTGAGATAAAAATATAATAATAACAATAACAGCAACAACAACAATAGTAGTAATAATAATAATGCCTGGAGAGGGGAAAGAGGGAACAGCATCCTTTATAATTTCATTTGTCTGTACAGCACAGAGAGGTGAAGCTTTAAATGTGGTTTGCTGGTAAGCAGGAGAACACTTGCCTTCCTCTGTGCCAGTCCCAATAGGACCAAAGCTAAAACAGGTTCTCCTTGTGTCTCATGTAATATGAAGCTACAAGAGAATGTATATTTGGTCAGGATCTCACTCCCACTCCTTAGACTCCAGAAAATCAGACCTGGAGAAGGTGTCAAATTAAGGTGGTGTCAAACTCCTTTGTCAGAATCCTGCATTTTGGCTCACTCATTCACACCAGAGTTCAGCCACAAGCAGCCTATTTGTTTTAAATGTCATTATCACAAAAGATGTCCACTTTCAACAAAAAGATAGAAGCCATCTGTTATTTGGTGTGGTTTTTCTTTTGAACAGATGCATGAAATTCAGTTCTTTCTGTGTCTTCATTCACCGCTCCCTCCTTTTGTGATACTCTTTCTGGTGTACGCTGACATGCCCCAATGATTTCTTTGCTCTTCTTTTCACCACAGTATACAATGCTTTGGAAAAATATGAGTGACAGTAATAGAGAACATGTAAAAGAAAGCATCGCATTACTTTCCATTAAGATTGCTGGTGTTTAAAATCACACTGCATTTTGTTCTGTCCCTTTTAAGTTCAACTATATGGTGTTAACCTGTTGCTAGTAACCAATTAAGTTAAATTCATCTTCCTTTTTCAGGATAGTCCATAAAACAGTTTATAAATGTGCAGTCCTGCCTGTTGTCCTATGCCAAAGCATTATAGTAAAAATGAAACAATAAAACAATACTTTTAAGACAATATAAAGCATCAAGTAAAACACAGAGGGGGAATGAAAAAAAAATTCAGTATTCATACTGGGAAGGTCTGGGGGAAGGGATGAGTTTTCAACAAGCAAACTTGGGGGGGGGGGCATTCATTAGCACAGGGACCACCACAGAGAAAGCTTGCTGGCAGGCAACTCTCAGAGGACATGGTATGGTAAGGTAATAGGATCTCTGCTGTTAACCAGGTCTATAATACGGAAGGCCATCTGACAGGTATCCTGATACAAGCTGGTTTAGGCCTCATATAACCAAACCTGGCTTGATAATTAAATTACAGCCACTGCTGTTGTTCATCAGTGATGTACCATATGACCAGGTGCTCCATTCAGCAATCTGGCCATCAGACCAGCTACAGCTTCCAGACCAAGCACAAGGTAGCCCCAGAAAGAGCACCTTACAATAATCCAGACATGAGCTGACTGGTGTATTTACAACTGTGGCTATACTGTCCCTATGCAGGAGAGGACACAGCTAGTATATCAACTGAAGCTGGCAATAGACACTCTTGATAAAGATGACTTAGAAGCACCTCCTAGAATTCCATTCCTGTTGTTTGTGAGGGAGTGAAACCTCATTCAGATGAGGTAAATTCTGTCACATTTTGGAAGAATTCTCAGAGATATTTGGCTTTTCAATGGGAGGACACAAAATCAGAGCTATTCCATAATTATTTAAAAATAACGAGCAACAGGAGTGGAGGCCACACTATGTTGAATTCTGTCTCAAAGGAAGTTTAGGTCGTGCAATTTATTATGTTAAATTTATTACATTTAGTTACAAAAAGGATGTTGAGTGGGTAACAATCTTATTTTAAGGGCATAACCCCATTCATCTATACTGTAACTGTTCTGGGTAATCTGAGATTAGTGATAAGGACAGAATACACATATACAGAGAGACTGCTTTATCCAAGGCCAGTAGCCATGTGTGCAAATATAAAATAAGCTCTGGGTGTCACACACCAAGAAAAGAAAGGGTTTAAAACAACAAAACAATAACAAGCAATTATAAATACTGTGAACATAAAATCAGATATATGCATTCATTCTATCTTCTGTTTATTGCATAGTTGTACAATTTCTTCCTGCCCCCCCACCCAAATTTAAGAACCAACATTTGTGTTTGCAATTCCTCTATTATTTTTGCAATTCAGTGATATAATACAAATTTGGCCCTTACTAAGTAATTTTTAAGACTAAAGTAGGATGGACTTTTTTTTTTTTTACTTAAAATAGTTATACCATATTTCAGCATATTTTTTTTTTTCAAACCAAGACAGCCTTTTTTAACTTGTCTGGAGCCCTCTAGACAAGTTCTGACTGCAGAATTCCTAGCTGCCAGTCCTAATACATGGATATTTGTTCAGGAACTCCCCAGGTAGCTGAAGGGTGCCAGTCTTGGGAAAGATCATTTGAGCATCAAACTAGCTATAGGATCAAGTAAATTATTTGCATTGTGAACAATGCATTATAACTCTACATTTCAGACAGAATTGTTGCAGGAATGAAATAATTTCAGGTGCAGTTAACTGCTAATAATCTTGCCCATGTATTCTGGATCTTCATCTATAACAATTCCTAAGAGAAAACTGTGACAGAGAAAGTGATTGTAACATCTCAGACTAGGTATGATAAAATGGATCGCTTTCATACAGTATATGCCTGTTGAAAGAAAACTAAAGGGAAAAAACCTTCAAGTAGCAGAAAGCTAGCACATCGGGAAAAGGAATTCGGAAACAACCTTTTGCCAGATATGCTTGTTTTTTTATACAGAGGGAGTTTGTTTTTAAATGGGGGGAAGCATTTTAAAATGCTATTCTTGCAGTCTGAAGGCAGGCAGGATCCCTGTTATTTCATTCTGCTGAGGAAGCCATTTATTCTTATCAAGAGATGAGATATCCCTTAGGAATATCTGTATATCCCCAAGAGAGGCCCAGTCATGCCTTAAAAACTCTCATACTCTGAACACTTAACTTGGGGATCTAATCAGGTCCTCGAGACTGCTTTCCAAAGGAAGACGTGTAGGACGGGGCTGTGGGCGGAAAAGTGCTCTCTGCGTATGTTCAGGGGCATGGACTCCTTGAGAGCCTAGATCTGGATGGGCCTTCATCGAGCCCCGGTGAGTTAAGACAAAGGACTGGGGCCGCCCTGGTCGGTTGGCCGGGGCGCCAAGATGCAGAGAAAGGGCGCAATTTCGCGCGTCTGCTCCGAGCCGCAGCAGCGGCGATCGAGCCTAATCTCCGGGCGGAGCGGGGAAAGGACTGGAAGAGGAGGGACGGCGAGACGAGGCTGGGCTCGCCTGTTGCCATGCTGCTCGGTGCCAAGGCGAAGGCGCCACCTCTGGCGCTCAATCCGCAGCCGGCCCGCCTCCCCTCGGCTCTCTCTTCCCAAGAGAGGCGGGCCGCGCCCCCCCCCCGCCGTCGCCAGCGCCCGCCCACCCCC